ACTTTCGTGCTACGAAGGCAGAGTTGAGTAGCTGCAACGGAGATTCCCTAATTCATAGTTACTTATTTTAAACCTATGAACTGTAAAGCCTTAAATGTTTATTATGTGACTCTTTACAGACAGTGTGCTGAGCAAGGGCTAGAGCATCCTCTGGCCACCTCTTCTCCAATGCTGGCTGTGAGTCTCACATGGGCCGTGGAGGCCTAGAAGCAGGAGGAACAGCAATCCTGAAGCCTGCCACCGTGATGGGCAGCCCAGGAGGAATCGCCCGCCAGCCCAGGGGGTTGTGATGTGTTCATTTCTCAACAAGCTTCCTGCCTCATTCCCAAAATGCTCCGCAGCAAGGCCCATGGGAACCCCACAGACGGGAGGGTCTGTTTGCTTTATTTCTGAAACATCGCTGAACGAATGAACAAATGTACGATTCATCTTTATGAATCAGGGACAGGTGTACTTCATTTGAGGCAAACATGGAACCGGTTAAAGGCCCACAGGCACACTGTCCGTGGAGATCGTGGCCAAGGGTCAGGTCTGTTCTGTCCTTCAGGCAGACGGACTACTCTAGCGGGATGGTGCGTTACAGAGTAAGGTCATTTCCAACCACCTTGGGAATTTCTTTGGCTCCTATGAGCTTCACTCACTGATCATTCTGTTGGCCAAGACTGTCGAATCAACGGCAAATTAAAAATGTTTTTTCCCATGTGAGAATACGAATGCAGTGGCAGAGTTATAAATGCTCGTGTGTTTTGATTCTTCTTTCATCGTATGGAATGACTTTTCATTCCTGGGGAAGGATCCGAAAGCCACATTTAGTTAACTCTTTCTGGAAACTAGAGCTGGACGTGGAAAGAATAACCTCGAGACTAGATGTTGTGCACTCCCACCGAGCGAGGCCTTTTTGGCCATCCTGCTGTGTTTCTCCCATTGTGATTCACCACTGACCTTTAAATTTTAAAAAAATGTCACTTAGCCGAATCCAACTGTTACCAGAGGATGGGAAAGTATAAAGAGCGGGTAGGGGAAAAGGACGAGCATGATGGGAAGTAGGTCAGGATGGCAATTATTTGGAGAGAAACACACAAAGAGGGGAGTCTGTAGACAGAGAGAAGCCATCATACTGTGGCTGGGGACTGAGACGGAGGAAATGGGGTGATGGTTAAAGAAAATCCCATAAAGAGCACCCCAATGCCAAATGGCACCCTGTTTGGGAAGGCTGGCTGTCGGCAAGAACTGCTCAAATGCTGACACAGCCTTTCTGCACTTGGCACGCTGCTTCCCAATGGTTCGGCACCGGGGAACTGTCGCAACTATCACATCTGTAAACCTTGACAAGACACCGTTATACGATTAAACCCCTGCCTAAAACCCGACCTGACTATTCTGTTTAAAAGGCAGTATGACTCAATAACAACAACAAAAAAACAAAGGATCCAATCAAAAAGTGGGCAGAGCACCTGAATAGACACTTCTCCCATAAAGGACATACGAATGGCCAACAAATATATGAAAAGATGCTCAACATCGCTATTAGGGAAATGCAAATCAAAACCACCATGAAATACTATCTCATACCTGTTAGAATAGCTATAATCAACAGGACAAGTAATAATAAATGTTGGAGAGGATGTAGAGAAATAGGAACCCTCATACACTGCTGGTGGGACTGTAAATTGGTACAGCCACAATGGAAAGCAGTATGGAGATTCCTCAAAACATAGAATTGATCTACCATATGATCAAGCAATCCTTCTACTGAGTGTTTACCCCAAAGACTGGAAAACCCATATCTGAAAAGATATTTACACACCAATGTTCAAAGCAGCATTATTCACGATGGCCAGTTCATGGAAGCAACCGAAGTGTCCTATGATAGATGACTGGCTAAAGAAGCTGTGGTACATATACATGATGGAACATTACTCAGCCATAAGAAGAGATAAAATACTGCCATTTGTGACAACATGGATGGACCTCAAGGTAATCATGCTAAGCGAAATAAGCCAGACAGAAAAAGTTAAAAAATCACATGATATCACTTACATGTGGGATATAAACCTAAAAGCAACAGATGAACAGGACAGACAGAGACTCATGGACGTGGACAACAGACTAGTGGTTACCAGAGGGTACGGGGGGAGAGGGGAGACAGATGAAGTAAAGGGGGTCAAAGATGTGGTGACAGAAAGAAATTCAACTATGGGAGGTGAACACACAATGTAAATATATATGCCTTACTGTTAAAATGTATAGCTGAAACTTATTGGATTTCGTTAACCAATGTCACCATTAAAAAAAATAAATTAAAAAAATAATAAATAAAATGCAGCACGACAGTTGTCATAAAATTCTCAGCATCTTTTTGACACCATCGTCTAGTGGGTTTCTGCTCTGTCTCTTGCAGTGTGTTTTACAAATGCTCTAAGTAAATGAGCTAATATGGATTCCAGTAAAATCTAGGAAATAGAAGCCGAAAGATGTTTAAAGAAAAAGCTGAAACACAATTCACGCACGGGCTCGGGGCTCGGGGCTCGGGGCTCGGAGCTCAGCGAGCTGGATGGCAGAGGCTCAGCCCCCCCCACGAAACTCTGCTATTCTCTCCCCTCTCCCATGCCACTCACCCCTGGCCTGATGCTCCACTGCAAAGTGCACAGGTGCCCCAGGAGGGAGGAACCAGCATGACACACACATGGCCTCTAAGCAGCCTCTGGAGACAAATGCTGCACTTCTGGCCTCAAGCCCTCTGGCCTGGTTTATTTTTCTTTATCTTTTTTTTTTTTTGAACTCTGGCCTTTATAAAAAGCTGGACTCGCTGCCCAGAAAAACAGAAAGGTTACTCACTAGGAAGCCATGGAAACGGAACATAAGAAGTGGGTTAATATTTCTCTATCAGCAATGCTAAGTCTCAGCCATTACCAAAGGGACACCATCATGATGCACCAATACTGTTTTTCTCTTAAATGCGTTCTATACCACCTGTTCCCGACCCATGGGTTGCTCATGACCCCCACTGTGCCATTCAACTCAGTAAGGTTCTTTTTAGTTCCACAGGCCTCTCTCCTGCCTGGGACATCTGAGTAGTTAACGCTGGCACTCGAGCGCCCCCAAACTCTCTCGAGAAGGACTCATCCCTCATAGGGGTGGTGTGACATTGGGGAGGGGACTCCTGTCCAGTATTCCAGGCTCCTGGCCTCTGCTGTGGGGTGGAGATGACCGTAGATAATGAAGCAAGTGAAGAAAATAAAACAAACAGACACAGAGCTGACACGGGCCCCTGAAGCTACTCCGAAGCCCAGCTTCCATCCGGGGTTGCCTCTAAATATTATAAGGCCTCTGGAATGAACTTCGTTTTATATCTGTACGTATGTAAAGTGGCAAATGGCGCCCTGTTTGGGAAGGCTGGCTGTCACCCAGAATTGCTCAAATGTTGACACAGCCTTTCTGTCCTGGCACACAGCTTCCCAACGGTTTGGCACTAGGGAACTGTTGCAACTATCACATGTATAAACCTTGACAAGACACTGTTATATGATTAAACCCCTGCCTTAAACCCGACCTGAATATTCTATTTAAAATGCTGCACAACGGTTGTCATAAAATTTCTTTCTGTCTGTCTGCCTATTTATCTATTAATCTATTTATTTTTTTCCTATTTCTTTTTCTCCTATATTTTTTAAAAGCAGAGGTTGTAAGCTGGTTCCCACTAGCCGAATCCTACCTGTGTCTAAAACAACATACATGTGTTTGACCCACTCAGAGTTCAAGTTTCAGTAAGCTACTAATAGTAAAAGAAATCAGAACATGTCATGCAAAAATCTGGACTTTTGGCTTCTCTTGAAGAACCGGAAGATTTGGCAGCACGGGACCCTCATTTGTGCATGACAATAATCAATAGGCACCGAGTAGCCATGGCTGCCACCTTTAGACGAGGCCTGCACTCATCAGCACACCCCAGTCCCCACTGCTCCATATTACCTCATCAGCCCTGAGGCCTGCTATTAGCTGCCATTTACGTGCATTATCCGTGACTCATTTCACTCATTTACGCTCCTGAGGGCATCCGGGCTTACAGCTCCTGCTTTTAAATATTTGCCATCAGCATCCACTTTAATCGAATATCAGTATAATAAAACACTTCGAACACTTTTATGTTTTACATCCTTTGGAATTCTCTCTACCTGGACATGACCTACATGTTTCTTTGGGACGAAACTTTGTTCGAGAGAAGGAAACAACAGAAAGAGGAAAATAAGACCAACATCCCATCTGTGTCGACATTTCAGTCACGGTACGGAGGCGACGTGCACGTACGTGTGCGTACGTGTGTATTACGTCTGCGTAGGGGATCCCATGGAATCCTAAGCCTGAGGAAGAGAAAGATTCAAAAAGGAGGTAGCCGGCTGCCTAGACGGAACTGCCTGTTGTATGTATCCCTCAAAAAGCCTACATGCAGGGTGATTAGAGAAAACAGAAAAAAAAAAAAGAAAAAAAGAAAAGTTGTGACTCGGAAACACAAGCCAAGTGAGTGTTTGGAGAAAAGGATGTTCATTAAGAGCCGAGAAGTCTGGGGAGGAAAGAGCAGTGGGGGTAGAGAGAAGGAGGGAAGGGAGCAGAGGGAGAACAGGGGGAGGGAGAGGCGAGGCGAATGGACCGGAGAGGGGAGGACGGAGAGCGCTGGCCTCTTCTAAAGACCTAGAGCAAATGTTCAGAGGCTGGTCCGGTGACTTATTACATCCACATGAACTCCGAAATGAAGGCCCAGGTGGCGTCCGCCGCGTGGGGGAGCACGGCCCTTCCTCCCAACGGGAGCGCGGCACTCGGCGCCTCGCCTGCCTTGCACGATGGGCAGACCGACTTCTCACGTGGAAGTCAACCGCGTCCTTTTCCAGGTCCCACTCCCTCAATGACGATAGACATAGAATGTCGAGACGGCTTGCTGGCTCTCCTCAAAGTTACGCTTTCTCAAGGAAGGGCAGTTCCAGCAACTGCACTGGTCTCCTCACCTCGAATTTCTGCCGGAGCTCCGCGTTTCCTTCCTCATCTCCTTCTGGAATGGGCACGTTGTAGTACTCACCTTCTTCTTGGTTAAGCAACTTGTACCTTTTGGAGACACAGGAGAGAAGCACAGTCAGGCGCTCTGCGTCTGCACCACCCCAGGCCCAGCATCTCCTGTCCATCCCTCTCCAGTCCAGCTGCTTCCGAAACGCATCCCGTGGGGAGACTACGGCCAGCTAACTTCATAGTCAGTGTCCGTTTTAGACTTAAACCAGCTTGTCTGCGGAATCTCCAAACGCTCTAACATTGTGAGATGACTAGCCCGTGCCTGACACAGACGTAATGGCCTTGGGCTTCCTTACCATCCACTGGCCGGCATCTTCATCAACTCCGAAACGCCGAAGGAAAGGGAGCCCATGAAGTCGTTCCTTGTTGTTCGATCCCAGTCCCAGATTTCTACGGACAGTCGTCGGTCTTTATCCGAAGGTTTTAATTTGCTACAAAAGAACACACGTACATAAACATACACACGAGGTTCTCTTGATCACGGTTTCTTGGGAGATACTCCATGCTCGTGACCTGAGCCTGAGATTATAAAAACACATGTTCAACTCTCTTACCGTGATTCCTCATTGCCAACAAAGCAGCCCCCTGGCAACCAAAGTTCTAGACTAGAGACTAGCAAACTATGACTCACGGGCCAAATCTGGCCCGCTGCTTGTTTTTGTAAATAAAGCTTTATTGCAACACACCCATAGTCATTTGTTCACAGATTGTCTATGGCTACTTTGGCTCTAGAACAGCAGAATTGTGTGCCTGCAACAGAGACTATGAGACATAAAGTCTAATGTATTTACTATCCGGCCTTTTACGGAGCAAAGCTTGCCAGCCTGTTCTATAAAACAGAAAGCTACCTTTCTGGCTGTCCACAGGTAACCTGCTTCCTGGGCTCTAGTCTACGGAGGGAACCATCTGCTTGTGCGCAGCTGCAGTCAGCGCTTTCTCACCCCTGACTTATTTGTGCCATTCCTTCCTCCCATGCCCCTCTTCCTTCTTTCCTTCTACTGTCTCCGCCTCTGAAATCCTAGCACTCCATCAAGGCCCACTTTAAATGCCACCTCTGCCAAGAAGTCTTCCCTGCTTAAAACTGAGGATGGTTTTCCCATTTCAGTGGCAATGGTGGCTTCTATGTTATTTATGTGTTCCATGTTTTAAAAAACATTCCAATTCTTACCTTACATCATCCCCTAACCCTAGAAAGACCCTAAGTTCATCGAGAGGTGGGACATACCTTACATGTTTTTATACCTTCTGTAAGAGAATTTTCGTACAGAGTACGCATGAATAATAATTTGGGGCTGGCATCACATAACTCTTGGTAAACCAAGTTACTGTCCATCAGACAGCGGTGACAAAAGCTACCTCTCCCCAACCCCAGCAGCAGTATGAGAGAGTCTTAGGAATGAAGCAGTGTTTAAAGACGTTCAAAACAAGCCTGCCGCATTATCTCCGACAACGAGGCGGGCAGTTTTGCAGTGTGCAGGGAGGGACTTCAGTCAAGAAGAGAAGACCACACTTACAAGGTAAACGACTCATTCCACTGAGGGTTCAGTGTGGAGCGGATGGTTTTGGTTTTTTGTTTGCTTTCATTCTTGGGATCAGGAATAAGTTTCAGCTTCACGTAAGGGTCTGAAAGTCCATTTGGATCCATAGGGATGAGATTTTTTGCATCTCGTACTGTGAAGAGAGAAGGAGAAAGGATCACTTTACAAAGAGAACGGAACCATCTTGCTCAGTGTCAGTACGGAGCTGAATGAACGAGACAGCAAGACGGTGTCTGAGGGGAGAGGAGGCGAGGACCGGAAGTCTCTGACCCTCGGCAACAGAAAAGCTACCTGCTGCCCCCGCCTGCCCCCCATCACCAAAGATAACGGGCCCTTTTGTGGTCAAGCCGTGAGACTCAGCATGGACCTAGACCCGAAGCATCTGTGATACCGGGGTGCCTGTGAGGAAAGAGAAACCCGAGTCCCCCCCTGCACCCACCCCGACCCGCGGAAGCAGAATGTGCACTGAGCCCCCGGGGCCAGCAGCAGCCCTTCCTGGGAGGACTGGCGCGTCCTCCCTCCCATGCCACCAGCTGGCCTGGCCCAGGCGTTGCTCCTGGGAGGAGTCTGCTCTTCTCTTTGCAAAGGGCACGATTTCCAACCTGGCTACACACTGGAATCGCTTGGGAGGGGCTCTAAAAATTCCAGCGCCCAGAAGTAGAATCTCTGAGGGCTATGATCCAAACATCGGCTTTAGAAAGCTCCCCGGGTGATTCGACTGTGCATCGGGGGCAAGAGCCGCCGGTGTGCACGGCTGTCACGCAGAATGCGCTCCACCTGCGTGCTACGGCCTGCTATGCAACGTGCAGCAGCACCTGGGACATCACCCCCGCGCTCGTTAGACAGGTAGGCAGGTCTCGCCCCCAAATGACGAACTCAGAATCCTCACTTTAACAAGACCCGCAGGTGACTCCAGTGCACATTCGAGGCTGAGAAGTACCTCCACGGGAATCCAAAACAGCTAGAATCCAAAACACCTCGCTCCCAGAGGCAGCCGTGTTCAGAGATGCAGCTGGTCAGCCTTATTACAGTGGGAGTGGCTAGTGAAACAGGTCCCTATCTTTCACTGTGATGAGAAGGGACAAAGGCCTGAGTCTGTCCACCCCAAACGTCTTCCTCATCATCTAATGGCATCTTTATCAACACGGTTGAAATTTCCCAATCACCAGGGTCCCTAACGAGCCAGGCGTCACGGGTGCACATCGAACGGGGACCGGGCTCTCAAGCCCAGCGCCTCCCACCGTGTGGCCCCCGGACCGGCAGCACCAGCATCACTCGCTGATCAGAACTCGGGGTTGAGTCCAGCGACCTGCGTGCACCAAGCCCCCAGGGGATTCTGAGGCACAGTACAGTTGGGGAACCACTGCTCTAGCCTGTCAGTAGCGGTCATCAGCATAGTTCGAGTGTTAAAATTAAGAATTTCAGAAGAACGTTCGAAGAAGGTGTTGGACTTGACGGGGGTGGAGACAGAGGAGGGGATGGGAGGCGCTAAAGGTACTGGGTCTTTGGGCACAAATGGGGGGTGGGGCGCAGCCCTAAGTGCAGAAGTCACAGACGAGCGTTGTCCATACTAGTCTGGGGACACATGGAGTGTGAAACCTGCCAGCCAACAGCCTTCTATCCTCCTTGCTTGGAGGCCTCAGCGTAGGAGGGTGACAGAGGGGACCACATCCAAATAGTCTGAGTGGGGAGGAGGCTGGCTCAGGTCTACCAGCCACAGAGAAGCTGAGCGTATGTTCCTCATAGTCCACTTATGCCTTCCAAGAAATTTTTCCCCATAAGACAATATCTATCTTCACCCAGCGGCGAGTGGATGGAGCATAAACAAGCATGAGCTTTGCAGCTCGGCAGATCCCCTTTCAAATCCTGCCTCCTTTGCCATGTAACTCCAAGCACTGGGGAACTTAAGTTCGTGAGCCTACCTTTCCTTATCTAGAACCGGGGCATATCTCTAGTGGTACAGGATTGTTGGGAGAATTCAATGAAATTATATACTATGTGCTTTATACTGTTGGTGGCTTAGAAAATAGAAGAGCCAAAAAAAAAAAGAAAAAGATCCCATTGTGCGAGCGCCCACTAGGCCCCAGGCACAGTGTTTTGGACCAACCCCACGACCCACGATTTCAAAATTTTCAATGAGGCAGGTGATCTCCAGGGGAACTGGCTGCCTGAGAATTCCCCCAAGCTCAGGCAGAAAGATTTTAATGCAATGCATAAGATCTAGTCTCCTCAAATGGCAACCCACGTATCACAAAAGATTAAAAATTTGAGCACAAAAATAAAACTCTCCCACAAGGAATGAAAATGAGCCCAAAGTCTCTCTCCAATTGAGCACTGGAATGAGAATCAGATGCTTTTTGAAAGGCGGAAAAAGCCCTAGAATGTCTAACACTGAGGCTACATCCCAGATAAGCTCATAAAGAACCATCGAAGCTGCCAACAGCTCTGCCAGTTGCAGAATAATTGTGGGCGCGGGCCTTATCATCTTCAATTTATAGTCCTGACAGCCAGCACACACAAAATCATTTAAGGCTGATCTCTTCTGAATGGTGACGAGTTAAAATCTCGATAGGATTTAAAGCTGTGGGCTTCCTCCTGTGATACTACCTTTTAAGTTGAAAAATTTTAAAAGCTGTCAATTGCAAATGTCATTGATGCAGACAGTGAGTGGGTCCCAATCCCAATTTCTTATTGCATGGTGAACAGCCGCCGGATGTGCGACTCACTGCATGCTGGGACACCTGACTCAGGACTGGGTGTGAGTAACTTGGAGTCCCACTATGACTCAGAATGTGGGCTCAGGGACCAGGCTGCCTGCGTCTGAATTCTGGCTCTGCCACTTCGTGGCTGTATAACTCCGGGCAAAATGTTTAACCGCTCTGTGCCCCAGTTTCTTCACCTGGAAAGCCATTCCTCACTATGAGAATTACGTCGGTTCATATGTGCAAAGAGCTTAGGATGGTGACAGGCGCATGAAAACAGCCCCGTGCGAGTAGGGTCATTGCTGGTAATAAAAGCTCCTGGCCGAGAACACAACCCCGAGGCTTAGATGTTCAGAAACTGGACCGACAGCTTATGAACTGGCAAGCACATGCCGTGAAGAACATTGCGATGTGGAAATTTTCTAACGTGGCTGCACATGCGGGGTGCCCGCAACGTCTTAAACGAAGTGGCAGTGTGGAGGGGGTCACTGACGGGGCGGGTGTGGGGGAGCTGGAGGAGGCTAAGCTCGGAAAGAGCGGAAACAAGTCGGGGAGTGGATGAGAAGACGGGCTAGAGACACGGTGATGCGGGTGTCAGAGGCGGTGAGGATGCTGCCCCGGCACAGGTGCCACTGGGGCTGTGGGTCTCGACCTGAGCTGTGCGCTGGAAACACCTGGCATGTTTGAGTGGAACACGGATGCCTGGGCCTCCGCACCCCCAGAGAGTCTGATTTAATTGCTCTGGTCTGTGGCCCAGGAATTGGCGCCTCGTAAGCTTCCCAGTTGAGTAGCATGCGAAGCCATTCGATGCGCCTGGCGGTCATTCTCAAAGTGTGGTCTCTGGACTGGCATTGCCGGCATCATTTGAGGACCAGACCATGTTTCATGTTAAAAAAAAAAAAAGTAATAATCTACTCACTTTTTAACACTCAAGGTTTCAAAAAGTTATCACTCAAACCTGATCACTGTGGTGAATGGAAAACCAAGATTGTCTGCCATAAATAGGAAGTAACCATAAAAGTAAATACAATGAAAATGCAAGGCTCCCTTATTTCCTCCTGCTGATACAGTTGCCCGAGACCTGCTCTTAGTGACAAAGGGGACATTAACGAGCCTTGAGAGTGTCTAGTTAGAGTGTTAAGGATATTCCAGGCCCAGATAAGAGACTTTCTCTAAGGTTAAAACCAAGATGGAAAGAAAACTGAAAAGGGAATAACTTTCTCGCCATGCCATTTAATGCTTTTCAGTGTCAGTTCCGTACCTTCAGGAGTCATCTCAAGCGTGACCGGCCCCGCCCGCATGGGGGAAGCGGGTTGGGGGCGTGCCCATTTTGAAACAGCGGGTTGGGGCACATTCCATAGTCTACGAGCACCCGTGGGTCTCAGAACAGGCTCTGCACAGGTCCCACGGCTCGATTCTTGTCTTTCATCTTCTACAAGAACCGAACTGCTTTGACCCACAGAATTAAGATCGGAAAAACAACACAACAACAACAACAGAATGCTACTTTGATAAATAAACTATGGAGAATGACATTCCCCCACCCCTCATCATGCTGGCTCAAATTTGGCACGGTGGGCGGTCTCTGCACACAGCAGCCCCACGTTTCCTGTGCTCACTCAGTGGCAGAGGCATTAACTGTGCTGAGCCGAGCCTGTGCAGATGAGCCCCGAGCCCCGAGCCCCAAGCCCAGAGGGGAAGCAGGCAGCGGGAACGCTTTGCCCTCACATCTCATTAGAGGTCCTGCAGGCTCTGTGAGGACACATCTGCTGAAGAAATCCATCTGGGCCCTGGGATTCGCCGTTTGAGAACGAACGTCTGTTTTGTGATTCCAGAACTTTAATAGAAATATAGCATCGGATTATCTGGCCATCTTTTGGCTTGAGGTGCCTGTTTTGAGATCAGCTGTCGAGCCCGGCACTGAGAAAAACCAGTCCAATTGAAAGGTTATATAACTTCCTGATAATGTAAGACATCATCTCTGGACAAAACCCACTTGAACGAGATTATGAAGACTGAGAAATGGCCCCGTGGTGCTGCAGAGGCACCTGGCAGAGGCGACGGGCCGAGCCCAGAACACATGTCAGGAATGAGTGTTCGGGCGTGTGGCTCTCATCATGGGCCCCGCGGGCTGGGCAGCCTTAGCCAGACTCGGGCACCTCCATCACCAGCATCCCACGGTACCTGGAACAGCCGACAGTTAGGAACGAAGCCGGGGTTTTGTCAGGGGCCTGCCTGATGGGGGAAAGAGGAGATGTGGATGCAGGTGGGTGGGTGGGCAGGAGGGAGCGACCGCCATATTTTCTTGGGCACAGGCAACCTAGACCCACAAAGACTTGCAGTCGAGTGACTGTGTAATGTGCATTTGAGGATACAGTGTGACAGGCTCACTGTCCTCGGAGAGAGGCTGCAGATGGTGGCTGGCTCCTCA